TAATAATAATAATAATAATAATAATAATAATAATAATAATAATAATAATAATAATAATAATAATAATAATAATAATAATAATAATAATAATAATAATAATAATAATAATAATAATAATAATAATAATAATAATAATATACTACTACTAATTTAAAATAATATAATTTAAGTTTAAATTTTTTGGCAGCTTAAATTTTCATTCATATTAAATTAAATGTAAAAAATATATAATTGAAAAAAATTAGTAATAATAAATTCCTTTTACTGATTAAAGATTTAAAAAATAGTATTTCCTATATTCTTAAACTTCTTATATTAATTAAAGATTCAAAGTCTCGATTACTTCATTAATTTTTAGTGTATAAAAACTTATTTTTCTTATAAACAAAAATTACAGTATAAATAATTCCTATTTCATAAAATTCCAAAAATATGTTATAAGAAATGGAAATTATCAAAATAATAAGTAGTTCCAACAATAAAATCTATTTTAGAAAGAAGAAAAAATAATAGCAATAAGACTAATTTTTAAATAAAATTTTAAACAAATATATGTTTGGGGAGAATATATGATTCGAATAGTTTAGGAGGGCCTTTGACTTGAATGGATCATTCCTCTGAGATGAAATTTATCAAAATCATTTTTTCAAAAGATAATTTTTAAAACATATGCGTATTTATTCTCGTATGAAAATTTACGATTAATTCTCAATGCTATCAATTTTGAGGATAAATCTTAGCGAACCTCATGTTTCACAGTATCAAGAAAATTTCATCTAGGGGGACTTAATGTATGAGAACTCTTAGTGAACTATGTGTTTCATATTATCAAGGAAAATTCATTTAGGGTGACTTAATATAGGAGAACTAGACACTCATCTTTACGAGATTCATGACTATTGCAAATTAAAGCAAGAAAAATAAACTTATAACAATTAAAGATGATCCTATAATGCTAAAACTCGTTTTCTCTAGCCCATAGCTGCAAAATGTGCCTTTTGCTCATGAAATTTTGAAACGTCGATGACTAAAAATGTTTAGCAACATATAGAGAAGATTTCATGAAACCATCAAAATGCGTTGATATCTAACCTAGGTGCGTCATTATTTAAGCGACATGGTGACTTGTAAATTTGACAACGTAAAATTCATGCTGCTTCATGATGGGAAGTACCACTATTTTCAAAGTAGGGGTTAGGGATCACGCCACTCTAGTTTTAGTTGCACCACTATTGTATGTTATTGTAAATAGTTGATAAGTGCCAAAATTACTCATTAAAAAAAGAACTTATTAACTTAAAACACAAGAAACCATATGACACCCCCTTCAATCTATCATAAAAATGAGATAGAACACATGTATTGATATTTTAACTATGTTATTCATGAGTACATGTGAAATCATCCAAATAAATCATAAAATGCACAAGTTGAGTGGCTGAGAACTCGTTGGGAGAAGCAGAGGTTCGCCCAACCAAAGACAGAACAAAAACAGGGGACAACCTTTATGACTCAATCTCACCAGGAAAAGACATAAGCTTGCTAGGAGAGCAAAGACATTTAGAGATTACTTCCAGTCCAAGTTACTTCAAGCAGAAGCCAGATAACTCGCCAAGAAAAGTGACAAGCTCGCTAGGTATAACAAGGAAATTTAAAGACCTCTTGGTTAAGTAACTTCAGGGTGAAGGAATGGTTTTCTCGATTGACGAACAAAGAGGCTCGTTGGGCGAGATAAGGAGTATAAAGTCCACTTGGATGAGCGGGATATGATTTACATATGAAGAAAAGTAAGCTCGCTAAGAGAGCTAAAGGCCTCATTGGGCAAATCCCCAAATTAGAACTCTATAAAAAAAGGCCTGGACCAGTTCGTTCAACATCAATTCCATTATTTTTAAGATATCTTAATTTTGTAACGACGACAATTTCAATTTCATTTGTTAAATTTTCATTCACTATTTTTTTAACCTAGTTATCAAACAAACAAACTTGTCAACTACGTTGCTTAGAATTATAGAAATTATTGAACAACTTTTGAATATTGTATCCCCGACAAAGACGTTATGATATTTCTTCTGACAAAATGATGTTGTTGCCAGGGAGTGGCGTACAGATATTAAATGTATTGTGATTTTATCATTTTAAGTATATGTGTTCATATCTGTATAATTATTTATATTTATGAATATATTTTATTATCTTGCTATTAAGAGTTTGGTTAGATTGTTGAATCTGTTTATGCAAGGAAAGATCCCTAAAGATCAATTACTATTTGATCCCGAAATGAAAAAATTATTTGCAAAAGAATAAAGCAACTAGTTCAAAGGAAAGAGCAACGGAAAGAAATCTTTATTTCTACATCTACCAAATTAGAACTTATGGTTGAATGATGGTATCAACAACAACAATAAGATTAACAATTCCAACAACACCTGAATCAAGAAAACAAAAATGTTGGTGGTATGTCATGCCACAATAGTCCTAGAAGGATAGCTCACATAGTCAGACCCCAAAGAAACACCAGGCAAGTTGAGATCAAAACTAGATTACTTCAAATTTTATTTGTTAATTATTTTGTAGGCCTGGACAACGGGGATCCATATAATCATCTCACCAAAATCTAAAAACTCTTTAGAACTCTTGGAGTAGTTAAATAAGAAGAATCGATGTTTATGTAATTGTTTCTATTGTAATTGGATTAACCTACACAAATAATGACTAATTAGAATACTTGAGGAAAAATTTCTTTACAAGCTTTTTCCACACAGTAAGTTTACAGAGGTCAAGAATCTAAGACTACCATTGTCATGTTCTCACAAGGATCAATGTGAAGCTTGAAAGAGATACAAGTCCATGTTACAAAAATGTCTGAATCAAAGTTTGGATGACCTCACTCAAATCCACATATAAATGGGCAACAATAACATCAAAAGCTCCTCATTTATGTCACAACTAATGGTTTCCTCGTGTCAAAAATTGTTGAAGATGCAATTGCAATCATCGAAAGAATGACACTCAAGGATCACTAATGGAAATACAATAGAAACACCGCACAAAGGAAGGTTGGCATCATTATATGAATGTCAGTGATGCAATCTTGGCTCAAAACAAGCTGCTAATCCAAGTCGTGGATGAATTGAACTATCAAAACAACCTCAAGATGCAGAAAATGCCAAAGCATAGGAAAATTGCTTACTTTGAGTTGTGTGGTAGAGATCACCCCACATGATTATGCCCATCATCAGAAGAAAAAGTCAACTTTATAGGAAATCCACAAAGGTCATGGCAGTATCATAACAATAACTTTCAGAAGGGAAAACATATATAACAAAATATGGAGACTAAAGCTCAGGACGTCCAATAGACAATGCCCATATCAAAACTACAACCAGGTTCCTCACCAACAAGACTGAATATCAAAGTTAGAGGATACATTAAACCGATTCATGTTGCTATTCATGGTTGTACTCATAAAAATACATTAGTTTAGAGAGAGCTTGCTCACGTAGAGATTATGAGAAATTCCGTGCATTTCTCTCTAAAACTTGTGAATCCCCTCTCAATTCTAGAATTAATATATTTATAGAAGACCTCTTCAGGCTGGGCTAGAAAATCAAGAAGTGGTTTTCCTCATTCCACGATCAGAAGCATGAAGGTAGTGGAAGACTCGTTTTCCCTAAAATTATGGGGAAAAGGTTTTCCTTTGACTGATATCCCTTAGACACCTCGAAGTCCATGTGTGATAAGTGTAACAGGTCAAGGATCCCAAAATGGGTGAAATGTTCCCAATCGAGCGACTAAGCCCATTTCAAAAGACTAGGCTTTGCTTCAAGTGTTTTCCCTTACTATGAGTTGTTGTATCACAAGCCATCATTTTTTGGCCTAATAAAATTATCTCAATATAATGGCGAATCAGAAAAACACATATGTCTTGAATCAAAAATCTAGAAACATAGATTTGTCATGTTGCCAAGTAAATTGTTGATCAATAATCAAGAGCATTCAATGCAAAATCTCATATTTGTCGGTTGAATTTGAGTGTTCAGAGCTCTAAAATTTTGTTACCGCATTCTCAACTTAACATGCAATTTCTCAAATTGTGAACAAAGCACGACTGGAATACTTTCGAGATGGCAAGACTTTAAAATTTAATAATTAAATTTTAAAATACTTTCATCTTGCTTATCTTAATTTTTATTCATTTATTTATTAAGATTCATACAAAACGAAAGAACCGCTTGAAGCAAAAAATGATAAATAATATTGTATTGTCATGGCTAATTTAAGATTAGCCAAAATAAAAAGGGAAAAGAACACTTGAGACAGTTTAATGACCTTGAATCTAAAGATGATTGGCTTATGAACGAAGTTGGCAACACTGAAATTTTGGATGAAGACTTTGTTCAAGAGAATCAGAACAAATTGAAGAGGATGATAGATATTCTGGTTCATATATCGTAAGGCTGTGAGTTCAACTCTTGTTTTCAGTGTGAAGACCTTGGTGGGTGAATAGTTTAAGCCTCTGTTTGATGAACGCACGATTAATTTTTTATATAATGCATTTTTATATGATGCAACTTTTTTATACATTGCAAGAAAAATATAATTTTTAAAAATAATACATATTTGATTAATGAAAAACAATTTCTTATTGAATAGAGACCATAGGCTAGATGATTCAATGTCGCCCTTTTATTTGCTGGCGACTTCTTATGTTCTGCTGAGAGAATTACTAAGAATCATAAATGCTAAAAGAAGTTTTGGAAACCTAGAAAAAAATTCAAGACTTACAAGCCTTTAAAACTAGGTTAAGTGAATGATTTATAAAAAGAAAAAAAATGATGTGGTTTACACTTTACACCAGAAAATTCCCAGAACTCCAACAAAAGGGGTGAAGATTGTCGAAACAAAAAACAATAAGCCGTGTACCGAACCAAAATTGCTGATAATAATAAGAGGAACAAATACAAACCGAAAAACGTGTCTGACTAGAATAACTTGATTTAATTCTTATTTTCATCTACCAGCTCTTTTACACAAAATTGATGCAAGTTTTCATACATTTTCTTCCATTGATTAACCATCTGCGCAGACTTTTGGCAATCGCATTTTAGTTTCTCTATCTCCATTTCAGAAGCAGCAGTCGAACCTTGATTCTGAGACACAGATTAAATAACGACTATATTCTTTAATCCTTTAAATAAATTAAAAATAAAATTAAAGAAACGGAATCATTGTTAGATACAAACCTGAAGTTCTTTACTGTAATTAGAAATCACATGAGAACTAAGGTATGAAACATCCATGCATCTATCGCTATCGCCAAGACTGACGATGGTCTTCGTAACTGAATGTAAATGTCCGTCTATTGAATTTGCATATTTTTCCAAAGGAGGAAATTGAGCTCCCTTCTTTTTTGAGGCTGCTTGTAAATTTGAAGACATATGATTACTTGAATCATTTTCGGGTCTTACAACAATGATATTAGTTATTGGTCCTGCAAAATTTGATAGATCATTAAATGTAACGAAAGCATGTTAAAAGTACACAATATTAGGCATTGACAAAGTAAAAGATGCATAAAAAGGTTTAGGGCCGTCTTTGAGAGCGTGAGCTTACAAAGTGGACTATCGCCCAGGACCCAAAACTTGACACCGTTAAATTGTAGCTTAATAGGCTTCATAAAATATTTTTCGTGGTTAAACCATGGCAAAGTAGGGCCCTATTCATTTTGCCAAATAAATTGTGGTTAATCTACACAGAGCCTCTACAAACTTAGACGGTCCTGAAAAGGTTCATAATAAATCGCACATGAACGAGCTTTATTCAACAAGATATACAATCAGAAAGCATGTTCAACAAAAGCAATCTCAAACCACAAGTAGGTTATATTTCATGAAGAGTTTGCAATACCTTTAGCATGTTTAAAGACACGGATGATGTTATGAGTACTTGCATTCCAAACTCGAACTATTCCATCCTCAGATCCCGATATTAAAAAGTTATCACCGGCGCTATATGCCAAGCAAGTAACTGTCTTGCTGTTAGATTGAGAAAGATAATTAGTTAAATTACACTACACAGCTTGAATTAGGTTTTTTTCTGTAACTCACTAGAACAGAAGCAAAAAGGTACACGAGATTTTACTAACAAAATTAAAAGGGGATACTTGGAGAACTTATAGAAACGGCTTATGACTTGTCCATATAAACTATTTTCAATTTATTTTGATAAGATCTTTAAAATAGCTTATGAAAATAGCGTCCTACACACTGTCCTCATAAAGATTAAGGATTTGTTTTAATTGTTTATTTGAGCTTCTTGTGATATGAACACTTGTGAGGCTACTTAGGAGAACTTATGGAAACAGCTTATGAGATGTCCATAAGACATTTTCAATTTATTTATTTTAATAAGTTCTTTAAAATAGCTTACGAAAACAGCTTCCTCGATAAAGACTGAGGGCCTGTTCTGATTGTTCATTTGAGTTTATTTATTGACATAAATCTTTGTGAGACTATTTGGGAGAACTTATAGAAACAGCTTATGACATGTCCGTAAGCTATTTTCAATTTATTTTAGTAGCCTCTTCTGGATAGCTTAAAAAAACAACTTGTTTATATAAGACAATCATGGTGAGTTAACAAAATTACCAAATTTTGGAAAATAACATGCAAATTTAGGAAAAAAATTTAAAAAAATCATGAAAGATTGGATGTCAACAGGTCAATATGTTCAATATCTGGAAAATAAGAGGAGAAAAGATAACCTGTGGTTAGAAAACGAATCAATGATATATGAAACGTGATTATTGGTAGCAATTTTTGTGGTGTTAAGTGCAACGATAAATATTTTTCCGTCTCCACTGCCAGCATAAAAGACATGTTCAGCTGGATCCAATGCAATAGCTTTAATCTTTGAAGGGAATACTATATTTCTTTGTAGCATTCCATTAGATAAGCTCCATACCTTCAAAAACGAAAACACTGTAGAATTCAGAAACAAGATCTGTGAACTGGAAAACAACAAATAACAATAAATGATTAAAATTTTATAAATAGTAGAGATTGACGATTTAACTTGGCAGTAGTAAATACAATGGAATAAACATATCTCATTGAATATCTATTTTTCTACAACAATACTTCCATATGAACACAGTAAAACAGACCTTACACGTCCGATCATCCGATGCTGAAACTATAATTGCATTGCACCCTCCAGAACCAATCACAACATCATTTACACACAAAGTGTGATCTGAAAAACTATACTCGTAAATCTGGCTTGCTTCCCGTCTTCTCACATCATCAAATATCCTGAACCATGACATGAAGAGTAGTGTTTTACGCAATGGTTAGCACTCGTAGTGCCAAAGCAGTCTGTAATTCCAAAAGTGGGAAGAAACAATAGGAGTCGAAAAATGGAGAGACAAGATGAGTATTAAGTACATTAAGAGAGACCAAACTCGTACGCTTCCGTTTTTAAAACCAGATATTAGAAGTGAGTCATCTTCAGAAAATACCAGGCAAGTAACAGCCATATTATGACCATGCCACTTCTTAAGCAATTTTCCGGTTTCAACCTAACAAGTAATGAAGACAACAAACTCAGTATAGTAAAAAAAAGAAATAGAAAAATTAAGTTCCCTCTTTCAATTTATAAGTCCAACACCTAATGCCACAAGAGTTCAGCATTGAGGTTGCAAACGGACATGCCCGCCCCATTTAAGTCCACCCCCACAAAAACCCGCAAAAAAGGGGCAGACGGGACGGGAATTGTTGAGGGAACGGACCTAAAATCATGACCCGCCCCACAAAAAAACAAGACGAGGCGGGCATATCAGAGAGTGCGGGACTAAAACCTTATCCCGTCCCGGAGTACGGGCATGTCTAGCGGGCCGGACTCATTTTGACACCCCTAGTTCTACCGCTGCAATGAATGCAGGCTCCAGTTTTCATAATATATTTAGATGAAAAATCAACGATCAATCTGACACAAACCCTTGATGCATAATAATATAATAGACCAAAGAAGAAAACTCACCTCCCACAAGTATATTTCACCTGACAAACCTCCAGCAACAAGATAGGTGCCACTGTGATTAGCAGCAAGAGGCGTAATGGGTTCAGCGGGAAAGCTCTTCACTTCAACTTGAGGCTGCACGTTGATTACACAAGCAACAATGTCCTCATCATTAATCATGTAAGAAAATTGCAGGATAAAAACACTAATCCGTAAATAAACGCAGTATAAATTAACAAAAAAACCACCTTGGACCAGGACCAAAAGAAAACAGAACCAGAGGAAGTTGATGCGTCTCGGAGCTGAGAAGATGCAAGAAAACGATCACCAACGGAGACAAGTCCATGGGCAGGGGAAGATAATGATTTATAGCGGATCTGCTCAGTACCTGTGTGAAGGTCCCAACATCCAATCCCACCACCAGCATCAGAGGATGAAGCTAAAACAACCACCATCCTTCACTACAGAGAAGCATGAAGAATCAGAGTAGAAGGAAAAGCGATGGTGAAGAAGAAATAAAAGATGATAATACGAACCAGCGGCGTGCTTGAATTACAATGGTGCTGCTAGGGTTTAAGGAACTTTGCAATCTCTTCGTATTATTTCTTGTATAATAATGACGGAAGATCGGTTATAGGGTTTTAGGGTTCACAAAATTTCAGAGATCCATTTACTTCAAAAATATTTTTTTATATTTTCCCTTATAGTATCACTTAAAATTTTTAGGGAGAGTTTTCTGATTATATTTTAGTATCTAAAATAATAACTTTATTCATTTAGAATAGTAGAGCATAAATTTATAGTTGAGCAACTTATAAAATTTCATAAGATTATTGACGATCTTGAGAATATTGAAGTGAAAATTGATGATGAGGATAAGGTTTTGCTCTTGTTGAGTTTATTATCCAGATCCTTAGAGAATTTTAATGATGCCCTTCTTTATGGTAAGAAATGTACTATTACTTTAGATGAAGTCCAGACGGCTGTGAAATCTAAAGAATTTTCAAAGACGAAAGATTTGAAGATAGTGGTGAAGGCTTAAATGTGTCAAGAGGGGGAGGTGAGCGTAAATGGATGTCTAAATCAAAGAGGTCTGACAAGTCAGAGATAAAATATTTTAATTGTCAGAAAATCGGTCACTTTAAAAGGTATTGTCCTGAGAGAAAGGTCAATGAAGATTATGTTCAAGTTGCAGTTACCTTGGGTGAGGAAAGTTATGAGGATGTCAACGTACTAGTAGTATCGAGTTTGGAAACTGAAGATAGTTAGGCTATTGACTCAGGTTGCTCTTATCACATGTGTTCAAGAATATAATACTTTGAAACTTTGAAGATGGTTCAAGGTGGAGTTATTCTCCTTGGTGATAATAAGGTTTGCATTGTTCATGGTATTGGTACGATCAGACTTAAAATGTTTGATGATCGTGAACTTCTTATTTACAATGTGAGGTATGTTCCAAAACTCAACCGAAATTTGTTATCTATAAGTATGTTTGATTATCTAGGCTATTGTATTAGAGTTGAATATGGAGTGTTGAATATTTTGCGTGATGAATTTATTATTGTTAAATGGTCTAAAATATGTGGTATATATATTTAAGAAGGTTCAAATCATGTTCATTCATCATTACCTAATGGAGATTTTTATGATAAGGAAGAATCATGGGATTTGAGTTTAATGTGTAACACTCCAATTCTACCCGAGTATTAATATAAAATCAGAGTTATAAAATTTCAACAAACAAATCAGGATGCTACAATTTTAACTTAAATTAACTGTATTTAACACAAATACATAACACTTTAAACTCGGATGAACCAACAGTAACATAAATTGTAAGTGTCTTTGTTTGGGATTGGCTCATCTCTTGTAAAACAAATAGCAACAATAATGTAATGTAATGTACAATAGGAACAGCCTGAAAATTCTATTGTAAATGCCTAAATATGCTCTGGAACAACATGTCTCAAGAGATGTCACAACATCATACCAGACATCAAACTACTGAACTGTCAAGACTGATGCAGTTCTGTTCCTAAAGTTATGCAGAATATTCTGCCAAATAAAATGCATAACAAGTAGCGAAAATTGAAGGCATACGTGGAGCCCTAAAAGATTCAATCAGAAGCTAAGGATAAGGAGAAAAGCTCGATTGAAGACCTAACTTGTAGCAGAAGTTTTCTGCTTATTTTATGCAGGTTGTTAGAGCTGCATTGCTGTTATGTGAAGGCCCAAATCCAGCTGGGTAAAGAGGGTTATAAATAGAAGCATTGTAACCTAATTTAAGGGGGTTCGCTGATTGACAAGATGTAATTACTTAGGGCTAGTTGTGAACCACCCGGGCTGTGGGATGGTCACCATACTCCTTGAAACCTGTAGGTAAAAGGATGTATGCATTGTACTTGACTGAAGCTTTTAAGCATGATCAAGATGTGTAATGGAAGTGTATCTTCTGAACAGTATGTGTACTGTAGAAAGTTATCACTGTGGTGATTGAGGGGGAGTGAGAGGTGTCTCATATCTAGGATTGGATCTTAGGTAAAAGTGTCATTGGGTAGTGATTAAGTGAGAAGGCTGTCAACGGGTATGTTGGCTGTAGGGTCTTTGAATTGATACTACTAATAGTGAACTTTATCCCTGGCTTGGAAGCCCCCAGATGTAGGTTGGTTGAACCGAACTGGGTGAACAATTCTGTGTGTTATTTACCTTTTGTAGTGGTTACTTACTCTAATGTCACAGCATTCCTCGTAACATCAATATATAAGATTAACCTTTACTGTTATGAACTTCAGTAAATCAGAACCAGCGTGTTGCTGGATCTGGTATGTTAATCCAGTGACTGTTGGAGAACAGATATCAAAAGTACAGCCTATTCCACTTGTACAACGCTTAATGTCAGATCAGAGGTCTTAACATTCCATTAGACATTCTGAGTCTGTGACATTCCCGGAATTTCAATTGGTATCAAAGCCGGCATCCTGCCTGTCTCTGGATGAGATCCATGGGGGATACTTTCCGGTTGTGTACAAGGTAGAATATTGTTTGAACCAGTAGTGTTCATATTGTTTGGTCCCTAGGAGTGGAGGATGGACCAATTTGGGAGAAAGTAGATCAATCTGATCAACAATGTTGAAGGAAGATGAAAGTGTTTGAACCTCATGCGGGAGTGAAGATTTTGGAGTACTTTGTTCAACCTGTATTCAGCACAAAGAAGAATATTATCAAAACCTTCATGCGGGAGTGAAGATTTTGGAGTACTTTGTTCAACCTGTATTCAGCACAAAGAAGAATATTATCAAAACCTTCATGCGGGAGTGAAGATATTGATAAGGCATCATCTGTGTATATAAAACTTCCTTTTAACCAGGCTGTAGAGTTGGGTCTAGGAAGTTGCTTGGTGAAGAAGCAAACAACTTGTAGGATTGATTTATTTTCAATCCTTATGTGTCATGCTTGCTATATGGAGTAAACATTGTGTAGGTTCTGTTGAAGTACTGCTATTCCGCTGCATAGCTTCTGATACAACGCCTAAAGTGAAAGAAGAACTCTAGGGTTATTATTTTCAACAGAATTTGTAAGCAGATTTTGCAATCTATCAATAATGTCCTCAAGTCCACTCACAAAGGCAAGGCATTTATTATTAGTGTTGATAAGTATCAATTGATCAATGACTCTCGTATACGTCTTCAAGCTGCTTGAAGATTATCAAGGATGATGTGTTCCAAGGAGATGGAACTGATATGCTTGAGGATGTTAGAACATCATGCAACTGCCAGTTGAAGAACAGATGTTCTGGGTGCTAAACACTTGTAGTGCGAATACATATGTTTGGAACCTACTCCTGATCTGGAAGAGGAGACATCTGGTTTGAAATAATTGATCAAGGGAGTATATGTACTGAGCTAAAAGCACTTAAAAGGACTTTAAAGTGTGATTTCCAGGCTTCCCCTCATATGATTTCTGTGTCTTCAGCCAAGTAAATATACTTAACAAATATGAAGAAGTAATCAGTCATGATCATCTAGTATTTAGTGAACATCCTCATGATTGATAATGAAGTTTCTTCTAGTATAAGTTACAGAATGTGGCAACTTGAAACTTGTACAGCAAGTAAACTAAGGACTCTTAATTTGAAACCTGTGGCAAATTCCAAATGAAGAGTACTTACTATGTGTCTAAAGTAAAGAGCTCAACACTGTATGATCAAGCTGATATGAAAGGGAGTTCATCTTACCTTATTCTATAAGATGCTTGAGTTTATTTCTCATGATCTTAGTGATTTCCTAAGAGGATAGGAATAGAACAGGGTATGTCTACCAATCACATAAACTGCAGCATGTGAAGGAGAATTCACTTAAGTCTCTACAAAGATCTGATCTGAGGATCAGGGGGAGTCCTTAACCTGAAGATCTTGGAAGATATGTCATACAAAATGTCTTGACATCCTGGACCAAAGTCAAATGGTGGATATCTACACTTTGACAAATCATCCCCATCACCTAGGATGAACTTGTTAGTTGAGTATGGTACGATTAACTCCTTGTACTGTTCAAGGGTCAAGGTGAAGGTGATACATGCTAGTTGCTGCATGGTTATGTGGTTGTTGTGGGTCTGATCATAAAGGATGTAAGAAAAGTGTGCTTTGATTGCTTTGGATGTTCATCCAAAACCATAGCATAAGCCAGGTTCATATGGTTGAGATCAATGTCAGATCTGATGGTGCAACATCATCTCAAACGAAGGGCCGCTTCAGCAGTTGGTTTTTCATGCATGGAGCAGAAGATTGTTAGAATAATTATCCTACCTTGAGAAGATGGCATAATCTAACTAATAATGAATACTTTGACGGGAGACTAAGTATTCATTAGGATCTTGCATAAAGATATATATATAAGCACTTTGATGGGAGACTAATTGCTTGTCTAATATATATATGCAAGGCTGTATTCTGAACCTATTACTCAGAACTTGGTAGAAAGTTTATTCTGGTGAGTAATCACACTTTTCTTATGGGGAATCTAAAAGGGCATCATTCCCCTGGATGTTAACTTCAGAATCCAAGCAGATAGGGTCATGCTGTAACATAATTTATTGTTAGAAGTCCGTGGCAGAGACTTGGAACTGTGAATCTTAATATTCTAGTGTGGCAGTTTTATTGTTGGTTTGGAATAAGTAGATTCTACTTGTGTTTAAAAGAAGTATGCTTAACAACGCATAACTACTGTTGTGGTCTGAAGAAATTTACCAGTACAGAAGGATGACATGATCAAAGGATAATCCTTCTAGAAAGTCTAAATCTTAGTAAAGCTTGTAAGCACACTAAGAAGGTTGGAGGTTGGTTTCAGACTATGGCTACATGAGAGACATGATAAGTGTGAAAGCGCAAGGGCATGAATCAGAGATGTTCTTACTATTCTAAGACTAGTTTCAGGGTGCTTGAAGTTACCACCTCAGA